TTTTTTTTTACTTTTTTGATTTTAATTTTTATTCATTTTCTTTAAATACAAACAAGTAAAATTCGTAAACCACATGTAATGGGGTGGTTCTGTCAGTAAACTGCAGAAATATATGCATGAGAGTAATTACAATTTCAATCTTACTTCCCACCAGTGTACGTATAAATCGCTTAAAAAAAAAAAAAATGTATTTTCTTATGTTTACAGAAACATCTAATAATACTTGAATGGTGGAGACAGTGAAGAGAGGTGCCTGTTAGGTTTATGAGATAGTTTCATTTTAATCTGCTTAAAGGATTTAGATTGGATTATCTTGGTTTTAGTTGGATATATGCTGGCTGACTTTCATTAGATTAGCATTTTTTAACCACTTGACATAAGAAGATAAGTGACTTTTTCTCTCTGGCTATAAAGACAATTCTTTATCATCTTCGTCGTTGGCAAAATTATACACCTACTTTTATAAATTTGGTTCATATTTTTTTCTTATCCTTGACTCTTGTTTAATTAATGTCATATTTATATACAGTTGGCCAAAAGAACAATCTTCTAAATAAATAAATGGAAGATTCTGTCCGTCTGTGTGTCTGAAACCCCTCTAATACGGGCCACACTTTGCTCTTTTTGGAATGAGGATGATCCTGGGATTGAAAATCTGCCCTTCATCTGGTGCTTGAACATTCAAAATTGGGATTTGTGTCCGGACGAAGGGGGAACACTTTAAAATTTGAATTTTAAAATAATGGGAAAAAAAATTAATGATTTTAAGTTTTTAATTTGAGTTTAAAGTAACACAAAAAAAATTTGTGAAATTTAAAATTTTTTGTTTTAATTTTAGTTTAAAATATCTCCAAAACTTTGAGGAAATAAATTTTATTTCTTGAAAATGCCAAGGAATCAAAGTTAAGGTGAGAGGTTTTATGATGTGAAGTTTTGAATTTCTGTAGAATTTGTGATTTAAAGAACTCAGTTTTTTGGCTGGAATTTGACTTGAGCCAGAACTGGACTTAAAGTGAGGTTTTGAAGTTCCATGGAGTGAACTGAGGAATAAAGTTATTTCTTCAAAATTATCATTGCTGTTTTCCAAGCTGGACCAGAATTCCTTTTCATTTTGGGTCTAACGAGCTTAAAAGTCTGTAAAGAGGGCAGTTATTAAGCTAGTTTAAATTAAATTTGAAATTGCAGAGTACCTGATAAAAAAAAAAAAAAATCATCATTATGCCATGGCATAACAGGAGAATGTGTGTTGTGAACATTGTGGACAGGCACTACAGAATCACAAAGATTTGAGGCTTTGCTGCCATATGTAGTATATCATCATACCCAGGAATAAGCATACCAATAAAATGATGCCGGGTTACAAATATGCAAAGCCCAATATATCCATCAAGACACCCAGTGTGATAAGGATACATTAGGCACATGCCGCACAGCCAAATGATATGATGAAAAGTTTTGATAAAACAGCATTTTAGGTATTTCTAACTGAGCCTCACCTACAAGGTTATATGCTTGTCTACTAGGGCAGCTAGTCATCCCTGTTACAGATACCTGCTCAGGCATAATTATGCTTATTCATCACTCACAGAAACTGTGGTTTTTAGTGCTATATTCACTTACCTGCAAATGTCTTTGGGATAGGTATGAATTCCCCACTTTCTCCCCCGAACCTGTACTATGGGTTAATTAGTAAGACTTTTTCAGTTGATTGAAATCAAATACATTCTTTTTCTCTTTCTCCCCGTTTCTCTTTCTCCCTAATATTTAACATCTTATTTTCTCGTGGAAGTAACTTTTATATCTTCAGGGTTTTGTCTTTTCCTTTCTCTTCACACGTGCAGAAATGTATCATTATTCATTAACTCTTTTTCTCTTGACAGTATCCAGCCACGAATGATGGTCATTTATGCTTCAATGCTTCTTTAGCATAAGGTTGATTTCTTTCCAAATGATCTTTATCATGTTGATCATTACTGACTCCACTGAATTTTGTGTAGGCCCATTTGGTCATACAAATGTTCTCTTAACTAGGAGTTTGTGTGAGTTGTGGGGATGGAATCTGTTCTCTTCATTTTGGTGAATCCATTCACGTTACAATTTCATGGATGGTCTGACTTCCTTGAGTTTCATTGCCCCAACTAACTTGTCATGTTTCTTTTGTGCGCAATTTTGAATATTGAATAATCTGACTCCATGTGACTAGTTATTTTTAGCATTTACATGATATGGTTGCTAGGGGTGGGTCAGTCCTTTCAGACTCCATGTGTTTTCACTTGACTGCTTTTAGTTTACCACAGAGCAAGGGTAATTGTCAAAGACATAGTTCACTATGCAACTTAAAACCTCTCTGGGTTTAGTGAGCTTTAATTCACAGGCTTGGGATTGTCACACACACACACACACACACACACACACACACACACACTATATATATATAATATATATATATATATATATATATATATATATATATATATATATATATACTGTATTTATTTATGTTAAAGTGCTCAATATCTGAGATAGAGCATAGCATCATATCCACTTACATATTTATATACATAAATATGTAAGTAGACATGATGCTACAGTCTGTTTCATGCTAAATGCAATCATCAGGTCATGTGCCTGACGATTGCATTTAGCATGAAACATACACGCATATATAATATACTGTTGATATGCCATAACCATGTTTTTGTTAAGAATAGTTTAGGAAGTTTTTTTTTATTTTCAAGTCATTCAAATCAGTTGAATAAGTATATATATATATATATATATATATATATATATATATATATATATATATATATAAACTGCAAATATCAGTGTGATACACTTTTTCAAATTTAATCCTAGAGGCCATAGCCCAACATATAATACTATTTGAGAATCAAGGCAACTCCATGAGCAAATTAAAAAGATTCTGGGCTGGATCTGGACCCGCAATCTTGAAATTTTGGATTCCCAAGTTTTCATTACTGCAATTGATTTTGGCATCTTTCTTTTTTGTTTTTTTCACATTAATTTTTTTTGAACAATAGCAAAAAGGTATTTACATGTATTTTTTTTTTTCAGTACTTATGTTGAGGTGATTGTTGGTGTAGTGAACTTACAGATGGTTACTTGCTTCTGCTAACTGTTTTGCTTCCTCCTCGGGCGGCAGATGTGAGCTGGCCACAACACGTTGCCAGGTCGCATGGAAGAAATTTCACCAGCTGCTGCCTATTCTCATAACCTGTAGTCTCCCAGATAAGAGCAGAGGCTGTGTGTATAACACCTGTGTTCGCAACATCATGCTGCATACAAGCAAGACATAAACCCTGTCAACAGCATAATGATGGGGACATGATACACTGGACATGTGACATGTCCATTGAGGACTAGTTCAGGTCAAACTCTCTTCTCAAGAAGATAGACCTTGACAATGTTGTATTACTGCTGCAAAGCTGACTATACTGGGCTGGCCATGTTGAGTGCAGCTTGGGGCCTATCAATGAGGCCAGCACAGGAAGTGGATAGCCCAAGATGTTTTTCAGAGGGGAAAAGGTGGGGGGGATTGGACTAGAACTAGCTGATATTAGTGACAGGTATATGTGAATAGGTAAATGGAGATCCACTGTCAGGCATAACCCACCTTGATTTGTGTGTGATTAATCATGGTCCTGTCTCAACAACAACAAAAAAAAAAAACATGATCTGTTTTTGTTAATAGTTTAGGAAGATTTTTTTTTTCAAGTCATTTAAATCAGTTGAATAAGCATACATAGCTATCTCTATCTCTCTCTCTCTCTCTATCTCTCTCTCTCTCTCTCTATCTCTCTCTCTCTCTCTCTCTCTCTCCATCTATCTCTCTCTCCATCCTATCTCATCTATCTCTCTCTATCCCCCATCTCTCTATCTCCATCTATCTCTCTCTATCTCTCTCTCATCTCTCTCTCTCTATCTATCTCTCTATCTATCTCTCTCTATCTATCTCTCTCTATCTCTCTCTCTATCTATCTCTCTCTCTCCCATCTCATCTCTCTCTATCTATCTATCTATATCTCTCTCTATCTATCTATCTCTATCTATCTCCATCTATCTATCTCCATCTATCTCTATCTATCATCTCTCTCTGTATCATCTATATCTCTCTCTCTCTGTCTCTCTATCTATCTCTCTCTATATCTATCTATATCTCTCTCTCTCTGTCTATCTATCTATCTCTCTCTCTATCTATCTCTCTATATATGCTTTTTTTTTTTTTTTTTTTTTTTTGTGAAACCAGAATAGCCTGCTTGAAACAAAAATTGCAATTTCGAAATGGAAATTTTCTTTTTTCTAACAATTACATTTGTTACAATGTTTGCCTTTCCTAACTCACTCGTCTGACAGACATCATAGGATAAAATCAGTAAAATGTTTTACTATCCATCCCCCTTGCCTACTGTCTCCCTACACTTTACAGTATTTAGGAACTGAGTTTTATGAAGTTTGTTTGATTTAATTAAAAAAAAACATAGGTTTCAAAACAAAATTTTTGTCTTTTTACTTTATCCTTTCTTTGTTTTATCACACACTATTGTACTTAGTTAACAGATGCAACAATTTTGATTACTCAACATTTTCAACAATTTCATTCATATTCCTGTCTTTTTTTTTTTAGTTTTATTAAAATGTTTTATAAAATTTCACTTAATTATACTCTGTAATTTTCTCAACTCAATGAGCAAAATTCAATTTCCCTAACATTGAAAGTGGAGTGCAAAACTTTTAAATTCATTGATTGATATATTAAATGGTTATTTTTATCATCAGGTAACCTGTTTGTATAGCAACACTCATCTTTTGCTAATATTAACAAGACTATAATTTTAGTAATGATTGTCTTTTACTTCATATTGGATATTAAACTTTCTGATTGAATGTTTGTTTTATATCTTCAGTTTTATGGTTACCTGTCCCAACAACAGAACATGATGCAAGACTATATCCGGACATCCACATATCAACGTGCAATGTTAGCTAACATCGATGACTTCCATGACAAGGTAGGTGCCATTTTTATGTCGTTCTTGATGTTTTCTCTATCTGGCACGTAGACAGTTTGCAAGAGATCTCCAATAGTGGTCCTTTCTTGCCAACTGGCTCCAGGATGTCTTTTCTTTTTAGTGCTACCTTCAAGGTCCTGATGCCAAGTGTTTTTGTGAACAAACATAGACAAGACAGGTTTTCTTGAAAGATACATGGGCTGTGGTGACAGCTGAGATCACAGGGAAAATTTGCCCTCATGTGTTTTACTACATGTTTATTTTGGTGTGCACAAAAGGGGCCATGGCAAGACACATTTTGACCTTGTCATTATCAATATCAGTCTACTCCATTCATATGTAACTTTTTAAGGTAGTGAATGGTGACTCCTTTAAACCTGGGGTTTAAATTCCCTGATCCAGCAAAGGAATATTGACAATAAGGTCCAGTGATTGTTGATTTTTGTTTTGCCATTTCCTTCTCCCACTCTGTAGTGAGCTTCCACCTCACTCGTATAAGAATTGCAATAGCATGATTGAACTGTGCATATTGACACTCTAGTCCTCTTCATACTACATTAGATTATTTCTTATATAATATTTGTATTTTTTTTTTTTTTTTTAATTTTATATGAATGAATGCCCCACAAGACATTACTATCCACTCTGGTTTCTTTAATATTTTTCCACTTGTTAGACGTTAAGTAAAAGTTGGCGATTTACTGATGTAAGAGGGAACTACTCATTTGTTGGTTTGACAGGTGATTATGTAAGTTAGTAATTATAATAACAGGGGTACGGATGGATAAATAATTATTTTAAGCACAACTAGTTCTTCAGCTTCCTTCTCAGTCGGAATCAACACAGGATTTCTTCACACTTTGTGCCAAAAAAACAAATATAAATAAATATATACATATGTTCACACACACACATATATATATATATATACACATACACAGGGTGTTATGGATGAATTGTTTAAATTACACAAAAAGGAAAATAACACTGACATCTCACTTTAACAGATATACAGGGTGCGATGGATAAATTGTCGCCTAAATGATGAAAAAAAAAAATGAAAATAACACTGACATCTCATTTTAACAGATATTTACCAAAATTACGCAAAAATATCATTGAAATGCTAAAGAGTAAAATCGCCATTGGCTTCAACCACTGCCTCCAGACGACTTTGGAATCTCCTGCAACTTTGTTTTTTTTTTTTTATGGGTTATTTTATGTTATTTAAAGCCTAGACATATTTTTGGGATTATAAGAATAATTCTTTCTTTTGAATGAATATTTCATTAACAATTTATTTTTTTTATGTAGAATATTAATGATTTTTACACACACTGCAAGAATAAAACTCCTGTTGAATAACTTGGTGTTTTATTCACCAGCTGAATTCCGATCCTGTTGAATAACTTGGCATTTTATTCACCCCCATACCCAGTAGGGTATGGGGGTGAATAAATTTACATTTGGGTTTGGTACTAGCGCTGACAAAGTGAGGTGCTGTTTTTATCTGTATTTTTTTCATGTCCTTGTTGGCAATGCCTGTGCTGTTTGCACCACATGCAGAGTGGTAAGAGCCCTGCACCAAAAGAGGCCACCTTCAAAATAAAATGTACAGGCTCAAATATAAACAATCTGTATTGACCTATTCCTAAACCAAGATACTGTTAATGCTTATAGACACAGTTAACAAACATTTATCTGTCCCTGAGCTTATTTGGTTTAGGGTCAAGTCTGTAAGCATTTACTTGGCTCAGGGATAGGATAGGAAATGTTTACAGACTCAAATGTAAATGATCCATATTTACCTATGTGTGGGTCATGTAAATATTTACAGACTTGAATATAAATGAACAATATTTACGGACTCAAATATAACTGACCAATATTTACCTGTTGTTGAGCCAGGTAAATGTTTTTACCAAAATATTTGTTACCTGATATATATATATATATATATATATATATATATATATATATATATGAGAAATGAAAAAAGAAAAAAAAAACATTGAGGCTAATGTGGTTACATTAACTGGTAACCATTTTCATTTTTTGATGCTTGTTAAAAAAATCACATAGGGAATCGACTATTAAAATATCCTATGTGATTTTTATAATGTTTTCTTATAAACAATACCTAATCAATATCCAATCAGCAAAGTCGACTGGGTTTTCTGCCCTTGGTTGGTTTAATTCATCAAAAGAAGTATATCTAAGAAATAATTGATGATTATTATTATTTTTTACAGTTCATCAACCTTTTACAGGATATTTAAAGCCAGAAAATTTGCAATATGAGCACTGGTAAAAAATGGTTGTTGCAGACATTAGGTTTATAATACCTGGAAAATCATACATACAAGGACACGTGGCACAGTGGATAAAGGTAATGGTTAGATCCAGTGACAGGACCCAAAGAGTGTGAGTTCAATACCTGCTTAAGGCAGTGGAGAACTTTCAGAGGGGAATTAACAGGGGATAACTGATAACTAACATCCATTAAACATGGCACGTGGAACTAGAACAGTCTAACCCAGTGAAATAAAGGGTTCAGTTCGACATTCCAACTGAAGCGTACAATGGCCAAAATGTAATAAATATGGCAACAAAGATTCGGACAATAGTCGGAATAATGTAAATAGGGTACATAATACCTAATCTCAGAAATACAGACAGATACTGTAAGAATTTTTTTGAGATTTTAATGATTTAATGATACAAGTGCTCCTAATTAACCCTTAGCTGGAGGAGAAGAGGTAGATTCATATATTTCCCCAAGAGTATTTGTGCATAAATGGACACAAGAGACCCGATTGGAATTTGAACTCGGCTCTACACTTTCCTATTCTGTGCAATTATCCATTACAAAACCGCACATCCAATCTTACAGTACTTGATATTTCCAAGCAGTCATCCATCTAAGTATTGACCAGGCTGAACATTGCTTAACTTCTATGATCATACAAGAGCCAACATGATATGGCTGTAAGCCCTAAGTCGAGCAGCAGTTGGCATAAAGTATAAAAGTTGCAGGGGTTGTAATAAGTTAGCATAGTCATTTTACTTTTCTTTTTCTTTTTTTCTTTTTTTTTTCTAGTAGTAGAAATTGACCTTTTTCTCTACTCCCCACCCATTTTAATCACTGTGCTCAATGACTTACAATGGATCTCTATATGTGCAAAGATTAAAGTAAATAGAAATTATGATTGATTTGTTTAATGGTTAAATACTAATAATTGTGATTCCTTTGACTATTAGCCTGATTTCAACCTTGCTCACATATATGATGATTCTCTGGGCAAGTTTAAAAAGGAAAACGAAAAGTCAACACTTAGCAGGAAATGGGTTAATTGACTCTGTGAATCCAATTATGGTTTTAGTAATTAGAGAATGTCTTTCTTTCTTTTTTTTTTTTTTCTCTTTGTATACTTGAATCAAATTCAACAAAAAAAACAAACTATTCTTCAAATCGGACACAAAAGACTGTGACTGAATTTCTGAAATAAACTGTTGTTCATTATACCTTAATTGTCTGAGCCAGTTTCATCATCTTTGTTGTCTTTATTGCAGTTTTAATCAGTGCAACCTTCTTACTATTATCCAAAGATGAAGCTGTCATATTTGGAATATTATCCTCATCTTTGTTGTTTTGATACTAATGTTTCAGTCTGTCATCAAGTCTTCCTCAGATTTCAAATCTGGCAGTGTCCTGAAGAATCAATACATTTATACATTTATATATATATATATATATATATATATATATATATATATATATATATATAATATGTGAAAATATATAGAAAATAGGAAGGAGCTGGTTCAGTAAATAATCCAAAGTCCGTTAGTATTTTAGTTATTATTTTTTTAAAATAGTGCTTGATACAAAAGTAGAGCATAAATATGATTCCAACTCGCGACATAAGAGGTCTCAAGTTTCAAAACAAGAGTTATTTCCATTTTCAATGAAATTTTTTTGGAATCTGATTCAAAAAAATTTTGCTTGAAGATGGAACAGAGCTTATTTTAACTCAGTTTAATTTAAATAATTATATTGAAGTTTTCGGCTCTTGTTTTGAAACATGAGACTTCTTATATAGCGTTTTGGAATCATATTTTAAATAAATATATTATATATATATATATATATATATATATATATATATATATATATATATATATATAATGTCCTCAATTAGTGTGGCTAATGTGTACATCAGTAACTATAAAAACCCGTTTATCAAGGGTTTACTTTAATCTGCCAGTTTTTTTTTTTTGTTTTTTTTTTGAGGGGGGAGGGATTAATTCTTAAACATTATTTTTTAGTGGATGCTCATATTTGAGTAGGCATTCAGGTTATTTATTTTTGTCTCTTCAGCTGAATATTCAAGAAATCTTAGAGAAAAATATATGCTCTCCAGAAGGATTCAAACCATATGAAATGGGAGAGTTCAGATTCCAGTTGGGCTGGTTACATACATTTACGCGCAAATGCTCTTTGGAGAAAAGTATGAATCCATCTTTTCCCCCTCCTCAGCTATAAGTTGAATAGCAGAACAGACAGACTGCGTCCCGTAGCCTTAGTTGGCAACCAGCCTACTGAAGGAAAATCTTTGGCTTAGTCATGAATTGAAAGAGACATATTCACCCAAGCATGTATCACGTGTGGCACTTGAAAAGAAGCTGTTGTCAAAAAATGTATTTTGTGGATTAATAATGGCTGGTGAAAGCAGAAAGTGCTCAGAAGACTTTGGCATTTCATGTTCAAACTTTGCCTGGAAACAAGAAAAATGGTCCAAACTGAAGAAAAATGAATTTTGAAATCTTGATTTGTCCTTTATGTAAATGTACGTAAATTAAAAAAAATTGCTACTCAAATGGACCCCAAATAAAATCTCTGCATTTACCTTGATAAAAGTTCATCAGGTAATGAACTGCGTTGGTAAGGAAAAGTTTTCCATTTGTTTTTTATCTATATTGTCTTTGCAGATATATATTATTTACATCCAAATTTTTATGCATGCATACACACACACACACACACGTGTGTGTGTGTTTTCCCCACTATGACTAAGGGGGGGAAAACCACCGAACACAGTGTTTTGACCTGCAAAGGGGGATTCAGGTTCAAATCCCACTGCAGGGTATATATTTAAGTTTCCTCGAGTACACAAAAAAAAAAAAAATACTGTTTAAAAGAGCCTACTCAAATACAGATATCCACTAAAAATAACGTTTGGTTTGATTTGGTTTACGGCATATCAACACCTCAATGGGTTATTTAATGTGGACAAAATTTTTATTGCTGGTAATATTTTTTGTCAAAAATCTATTTCTGGTAATATTTTGTTTAAAAATAATGTATTGCTGGTAATAGTTTTTTTTTCTTCAAAAGTTTATTTCTGGTAATAATTTTTTTCAAAAATTTATTTCTTGTAATAATTTTTTTTTACAAAGTATTTTTGGTATTAAAACCTATTTTTACACTTTCATAGTGTTTTTTTTTACCCATTTTCAGGGTTAACTATTTGCCCATAGCTGGAACACTAGTAAGAGGTGTTCCCACGCTCCTCAAAGCCTCCTGATCAAGGGCCTTGCTGTTGAATGTAGTTTATCGTCATACCCAGGACAGAAAAATAAGATTTGACATTATATATATGTATAAAATTTCAAAGGGGTACGAGACTATTTCCAGCTTAAAATACCAGAAATAATAATTGACAAGTGTTTATTTATACTAACCAACAGAATGTGCCTCGAGAAGCAAAGGGAGAGAATTCTACGGTAACAATTTTCGCCTCCAGCACGGTAATGGTTAATATTGTCAGCATTGTAGTATTTTATTAACTTTATCTTAGTTTTTTTTAGGAATGTTACATTTCATTTATTTATCCTGGATCATACACACATATTTAAATGAGAATCACTATAAAAAAAATGAATAATTCTAGTATGATGCTAATAATAGCTACCAGGGATGAAAAACTTGTGAGAATAGATCCAGAGCCAAGACTGTCTCAATCCTTGGAGTAACCCTTCCCTGACTGACTATATCTCAACAGGTGTAGCTGTACTCACCATCTGTTTTCAAACCTTCATGCAGTATTACTTATCAACTCCATTGTAGTAACAAGATAAAGTATTTTCATGATTAATTTTGACTAGTTTTCTTCATTTTGTTGCTTTTTTATCCCAATTTTTTTCAGTTGCATCTGCAATAATTAAAGATTCTCTAAAGTCAATGAGACTTGAAGTTGCATCTCATATCTTCATAAAATTGAATTTTGTGCCTCTCTGATCTTTTCTCAGGTGATTCTTGATGTAGGTGCAGGTTCTGGCATCCTTTCCTTTTTTGCCATCCAGGCAGGTGCTCGTAAAGTCTATGCAATTGAAGCAAGTAGCATGGCTCAACATTGTGAGGTATGTTCGTCAATTGTTGACACAAATTATTTCTTTCTTTTATTTTTTATTTGTGTTCTTTTCTTTTATTTCTTCAGTTTTCTTTTTCTTTTTTTCATCCATCATATTTTCGTAAAAAAATCATAAATAGCAAGTAATGACTTGCTCAGCATTGCAGACTACATTTTTTATTTCCCAAAACAACCCGTGAAAGTTTTACTCTATATTTTGAATACATTACAATAATTTCTTCGCTGTCCTTTTATGTCCTTACCCCCCCCCATTCTTGTCTCTTCTAAAAAAAAAAAAACACCACCACCATGCTCGTCTCTCCTTCTTGCTGCCACGTGTTTGTCTCCCCTTTTTGTGTCCGCACACTTGTCTTGTCACTCCCCCCCCATGTGTTCATCCCCCACACACACGTGCACATCTCCACTTTTTTGTCCCCTCCCCACATGTGCTCGTCTCTTGCTCTTATTTTTATATTGTTTTCTTTCTTTATATTTGTTTTTTTCCTTTACTGTCTTCATTAATGATATTTTAAGAACTCTTTGCAAGTTAAACGTTGATAGTTGTATTCTTTGTCCAGTTTAATATTGGAATAACATTTTTTTTTCTTCCAGATGCTTGTAAAAGACAATAAACTTGTTGGTCAGATTGTTGTAATTCCTGGTAAAGTGGAAGACGTAACCGTCCCTGAGGAAGTTGATACGATAATCTCTGAACCAATGGGTTATATGCTGTTTAATGAACGCATGTTAGAAAGTTTCCTTCATGCCAAGAAATGGTTAAAACCAGGAGGTACGTGTCAGGCACTAAAAGACGTTTTCAAACACACCTGCACACATTATTCATTGCCCCCATTTGCTTTCAGCGACTCCTTTCATAATATTCAAGAGGCATTGTTTTTAGGTGTTATTAATTTCTCTTCATGTTTAACTGTTTAAGATGTATTGTTTTTGTGTTGTCTTCAATATTTATAGGAGTGTTTATTCTGAGCTTCGCATGTTGAGTGCATCTGGAATTGAAGTGGATAATACAGACAATTTTTGCACTCCCTTATTCCCACCAAACAGTAGATGTAAGAATGCTGCCCAAGAGATATATATATATATATATATATATATATATATATATATATATATATATACACACACACTCTGTTTGAAAAGTATCAGGAATGTTTGTATGATAACAGCCAAAATACAGTGAAGTTGCTTGCAACAGATTGACTTTGAACTCTGTTGCCGGTACACGCTAAATTATAATGTTCTCACTCACTTAACAGTGCTTCATGGGAAAGCTTATAGAGTATGGTCATCTCAACACACCATGAAGGTTCCATCATTGAACATGGCTTGTGCAGAAGTTATTGGCCAAGACTACATTCCCCTGGTCCAACAACCACCATATTCCCTAGATCTCAACATTTGCGACTTTGCCCTCTTCTAAAATCAAATTCCAGTTGAGATGTAAAAAATTTAAAGATGTCAAGGAACTCCAAGAGAATGCAACAGGGCAACTGCTCACTATCACAAAAAAGAAGTTCCAGGAATGCTTCTATCAACGGAAATGACGCTGGATAATGTGTGTGAAGGGGGACTACTTTGAAGGAGATTAAATGCCAAATTGATATGTGTTGTAGTTATCTTTTTATAGCACTAGTACTGGCACTAAAGTCATCAAAAAAACAAATGTTAGTGAATTATGACAGTTTTTTATGTACACAAAACCCTTTCAGGAAAAAAAATAAAATAAAAAAATAAATCTTCATAGACACTTAACCAGACTAGACGATGTCATCTTCCGCTTTGAATTTAGACACCCCAACCTTACCCTGACTTGGCCTCTTTGAATGTAACTGAGATATTGATACAAATTATTAACCCTTACACGCTTTTTTTTTCTTTTTTTTTTTTTTTTAAATAATTGCTCTAGCCGTTACCATAGTAATTTTAATAATGAATATGCTTATAAAACGCGTATATTTCAAGAATTAGTTATTCAAAAAAAATTTTGCTTGAAAATGGAACAGAGCTTGGTACTTTAATTCAATTTAATTCAAATAATTATATTGAAGTTTTTTTGGCTCTTGTTTTTGAAACATGAGAACTCTTATGTAGCGAAATTGGAATCATATTTTTAAATAAATAATTATATATATATATATATATATATATATATATATATATATATATGAATGTCAGTGTGTCACATTTTTCAACTTTACTCTCAGAGTTCTGTAGCCCAACATATACTATTTTGGAATTTGGCAGATTCCATATAGCAAATTAAAAACATTCCAAGGTGGATCCAGACCAGCAATCCTGAAATTTTGGATTCACAAATTTTGATTACTGCAATTGTTTTAGGAGTCTGCCATGTTTAATTCTCTCTAACTTTGAATAGCTCATGTTCAAATGTTCTCAAATTAGTGTTTCAAAATAAAATTGCATGTTTTCAACTTTACTCCAAATATATCCATCTTGGCTGTGACGATAAACTACATCCATGTCCTGGGTAAAACGATAAACTACGTCCAACAGCAAGGCCTCTGATCAGGAGGTTTTGAGGAGTGTGGAACCACCTCTTAATTGGTGGTAGCACCTGTTAGGATCTTAGCTATGGGCAAATAGTTAACACCTAAACTTGTGTAAAAATAGGTTCTAATACTAGAAATTCTTTGTAATAAAAAAAAATATTATCATCAAAATTACTTAAAAAAATCTTTAAATACAAACTAAATTCCTAAAAAAAAAGTTGGATTCCTCTCAAAAATTTGAGTAACTGAAAAATGGTTCATATCTATATATATATATATATATATATATATATATATATACACACACACACACACACATGTTTAGAGATACAAAATTTATATACAGTTAAAAAAAATTAGGAATTTATTGATTTTAATTTTATTAGTCTCTAAGATCCTTCAACCAACATCTCATCAGAAAAGACAATCGTTAGGGATCATTAATTAACAAAAAGAACAGTAACGAAAATAAAGAGCAAAAAAGGGGGGGATCACAGCTAAAATAACAAACAAGTGTATATAATTAAAAATAAAAAAATAAATGTAAATAAATTAGCATTCTCGGGACATTTTAAAAAAAGAAAAAAAAAGTGTATATACACCTAAAATTTCACTTGAAGATGAAACTGGACTAAACACCTCAATTCAACTTAATTTTAATAATTATTTGGATGGTTTCGGCTCTCATTTTTGAAACCTGAGAACTCTTATGTAGCGAAGGAATCATATTTTTAAACAAAAAAATATTATTATAATAAAGCTCTACTTCCGTATGGAGCACTGTCTTCTTAAAAATAAAAGCAAAAATATTAAGGAACTCCAGATTATGCACCTAACGTAAACATTTTCTATTTTTCTGCATACACTACTTTCTTTATATATATACACACACATATACATAATATTTTTTAAACAAACTATTGCTAGATAAATCTATTTCAAAATCTTGTTGGCAAATTAAATGACCCACTGAGGTTGATATGCCATAAAAAGAAAACATTTAAATAAAAAGATTGTAGCCCA